CTGTTTAATACACAGGAGTTAAGTGCACTGTTTATTGCTCCACAAGGGGTACTAGCTGTGAGTTGTTCTGTCTCCCATGTTTAAGGGATCCTTACTCCTCACCTTCTTTTTGTATAAATAAAGTTACATATTTCATATTCCAGGGAGCCGTTCGACACCTCTCGCGCATACCTGTGTAGGTGTCAACAGTACGACCAGATAATAAGCAGTACAAAATTACATATATGGGTAGGTTACATACAAGGTCACGTTACAAGGTCAAGTTGCATATATGGACAAATTATATACATGGTCAAGTTACCGATCTCCATGTGGTCCACATGTTTCAAGTGTAATGTAAGAGTTTGGATGGGTCAAAATACTTCTGAAGCCCTTTTCATATATACATTGTTTGTCCAACTCTTTAGTTAGCTCCGATATGATTGGGGATTGTATGTGTTTTCCACACTCTCGCTATTAGCCTTTGTGCTGAAATATGAGCTTTTGTTTATGCTTGGGGACAGATCCTGGCAAGTACAGAAGTAAGAATGTTATAGGCAGTAAGGGCAGCCCCTGATTTGTTACTTCTAGGAGTAGTTTATTTACATTTCTCCAAAATTGTGTTATCTTTGGGTATTGCCACCACACATGCAACATGTCTCCTGCTGTTGGGTGACATCTCCAGCACAAGTGAGAGGCTTGTGGGTATAGCTGATGGTTTTTAGTTGGCACCATGTACCAGCAGTATAATATTTTTCGGTTCTGCTCAATAAGCATGGCCGATTTAACCAGGCTTTTAGAGGCATTTATCATGGATTCCCAATGTTTCGGGTAATATCACTTTCCAGATCCTCCGTCCAACAGAGAGCTGGTCTAGAGCTTTTTAGGGGGTCTTATCAGCAAGTATTTTGTAGCACATGGAGATCTGCTTACATAACGGAGGCATAGATTTGCTTATACATATATGTTCCCAAGGTGATACGATATTGTGACATGTTCCGTGCTCTGTAGGCTTTGTGAGAGTGCCTATGATGTACAATTTAAGTTGTATATAAGAGAAGTTGGAGGATTGGGGCAGGGCATACTTGGAAGACAAAGTATGAAAGTCCAGCAGACCCGTCGCCGAATAGAGATGGTACAGGTGGGTAACCCCAGCCTCTTGCAATGGTTTGGCATGAAACGTGGGTATACAGTAATCTAAAGCCTGAATCAGTGTTGCTAATGATATGCAGCCAGGGACGCCCAGTTTGTGCCTGGTCAAGTTCCATACATGAAGAACTCATTTGGTCTGCAAGGGAACTCAGGGGGTTGGAGGTCTTTTGTCCCTAGGTAGCCACAGCAGGCTAGGTAAATCATACGGTTTTAGAAGGACTTTTTCAAGATTTATCCATTGGTGGGGGTTTAGCCTTGGCCGAAGCTTGCATTAATCCGCGGGCCACCCTAGGTCGGCCTCCTGCCTAAACAAACTTAATGAGGTCTTTATTTACCAACTTAAAGAATGTATGGGGTAGTTGTAGAGGTAGCGTATGAAAAAGATATTGAAGTCTAGGGAGTATAGATAGTTGCGTTCTGTCCATGTCGAAAAAACAGCTGTGCCCGCTTTTTAAGTAGTGTAGTACAATCGCTCCAGACCTTAACATAATTGGCAGCATAGAGGTCTGCCAGGTTTTTAGTAAATATTCATAAATATTTAATGTTGTCGTACCACCACTCAAAGTTATAGGTACGTTGGAGATAGGTAAGGGCTGTTGCCCGCATGCCAATGCTTAAGGCTTGCATTTTGCCGGTGTTTAGGGAATAGTAGGATACTCAAACGTACTCCCGTATGAGCTCAAGTAGATAGGTTATGGTTTCCAACGGCCTGGTAACATACAGCAGAATATCATCAGCGAATGCTCCTATTTTTATTTATCTGCCACTTATTTCCATGCCATGGATGGACGTGTGATTGTGTATGAGATTAGAAGGGGCTCCAGGGCCAGAAAGTACAAGAGTGGGATTATTCTGTTTGTTATCTTGAAAGGGGAAGACAGGAATCTGGTTTGCGGGGTCTGTGCAGAGGGACTAGAGTAAAGAGCAAATATTTGATTTGTGACTTGGGTGGGGAAACCATACGTTTTAAAACCTTTTTCCAGGACATTCCACCCGAGGCGGTCGAACGCCTTTTCAGCCACTAATGCCAAGAGCAAACCCCCCCAGCTGGATCTCCGAAATTGTTCCAACACCAGAGATAGTTTGCACATGTTGTCCTGCCACTGCCTTCCTGAGACAAAGCCTGTTTGGTCATCGGTAATAATGGAAGGAAGTATGGGGGCCAGCCGGTTTGCAAGTATCTTGGTGTAAATTTTGGCATCAGTGTTAAGGAGTGATATGGGCCTAAATTTATTGTATATAGTGGGGGCTTTATAAGGTTTTGGAAGTGTAACTATAGTAGCTAGTAACATCTCGGGGCGAGGGAGCCAGTATTAGAGGTCCTCTCATAGACCTTGAGTAATTGCGGGGCTAAAATTTGAGCATATTGTTTATAGCACGAGTTAGGTAGGACGATGGCTCCTGGTGATTTCCCTGGTGTTAGTTTTTTTTTATCGTGTCCAGCACTTCTTGTAGTGTTATTGGGCTCACTAAAGCTGTAATATGCTGTTGTTCAATCTGGGGGAGGGTTATGTTTGTAAGATAGGAATCTATTTCTTGTTCGTCAGGGGTGTGCGTTTGTGTGACTGTATGCACGTTGTACAGTTTGGAATAAAATGTAGCAAACTCTTCGCTAATTTCTCATGGGTTTAATTTTGTACCATCATTCCCTGTAAGGAATGGAATCCTAGATTCAGATAACTTCATCCTGTGCCGGTTCGCTACAACGTTGTTAGCTTTACCGCTATAATGGTAGGTATTCGTGTGTAATTGTTGTAGGAAATAGTTAGTTTTTGGCTCTTTGAGCTTCTTATACAAGGAGTCAAGCTTATGGGACAGGTCCTGAGAGGGACTAATTTTATTTTGAGCCGTAGTCATCAATTTTCAGTATACTAGTGTATATACATATATACTGTGTATATATGCAGATATTAGTGTATATTGGACATTGCTAAATAGGCCAACCAGTATGATATATCTGCCCAGGGGGTCGATATAATGTCTTTGTAGAGTAGGGGCCGTGTTCTATGTACAAAGATAGATACTCCTTTCGTTTTACTGTCAGATAACACACGGTATTGCTCCAGGAAATGCTTAGTGAAAATGACAGGGATACTTTTTTTGTTAAAATTAGTTTCTTGAATATACACCACATCTACCTTGTGTTTCCTAAGATCCGGGTAGAGCAACCTTCTTTTCTCTGGGGAGTTTAACACCTTTACATTAAAGGTCATTATTTTCATAATTACACAGAATGAGTATTGCTTTTAGTGTGTACACTGCACCTTCACAAGTTGCTGATAACAAGGCTCACAACATAACACTGTGGAAAAGGGGTGTGATGCAGGTAGTACTTCCTGGGGACTCTCTCACACAGAATGTAAGCATATGTTACCAATAGACAGTCCTGTATTGAAAAACATGCATGCAGGGCCATATCTAATTCTCTACGTGTGTCATGTTGATATTGTGCACAAAAAGAAGTGTCAGTGGGACAAGGGTGTGGGGAGGGAAGGTGTGGGTGGGGGATAACAGCACAATTAACAATATCCTAACTTGTCTCCCAGTGTAGAAGACTAAACGTGCCGAGACTAGCTCGAACACCGGTGGTGGGGGTCATGGTGCGGGAACACTCCAGCGAAGAGCTACTTAAACCAAATGGCAATTAAAATAGAGGAGTTAAGGGCTGCGCTATTGGATAGTAAACCAGAAACCAATGAATTGAAACGTATATTCAACAAGTGATAAAACCTGGTTATAGTAGTTCCAGTTGTAATATGTTTAAGAATAATGTCCGTCCAAAATGTTCAGTGAAAATCGAGTGATAAAAATGGAATATATCAAAAATAGAATAAATAGAGGCAATCTCACTGATATAGGGTATGAGTACAATCCTCAGGGGTAATTCCGTCCAGGTTGTAAATAATCCGTATATGTGGAAATAAAAAAACACAAAAAAACTGCCAATAGTGAAATAATGAGGTAGGCTGAACTTGATGGACGCAAGTCTTTTTTCAGCTATGTAACTATGTAACTATGTAACTATTGTATTGATCCAAGGATGGAAAGATAAATCAAAAGGAGGATTTGCACTCACATTTGGTGGAGCTACGGCCAGCTCTGAGGTGAAGGGCACTTAGTGGTATAATCCCCACTTCAGGATGTACTGGAATAGTAGGTCCGTCTGTCCGGAAAAATAGAGCAGGAAATACTGCTCTATTATCACACCGCTGGTGGAATTATCCCCACCTATGGATTACTTGGATGTAGCTCGGACCGGCTCTTGTGTGAGAGACGCTTGGTGGTATACTCCCCACTTGAGGGTATACTGGAAGGGTAGGTCCGTCTGTCCGGCTGGGTTCCGTCGTATTCCACAGGATATATGAAACAGTAATAGTGCTCTCAGTAGGAACAATAAAATAAATAAAATAGAATAAAATATACTCACAAGAATAGAGCAGATTGATACTGCTCTATTGCCACAGCGCTGGTGGAATTATCCCCACCTAAGGATTTCTTCTGGTTTTCATTTTTCAAGAAACCATTTTATATAAGGACCAGGCAGACCACCCAATGCATTGAAGCATAAACATGTGTCTTCAACTATAACAGGACCTTGAATCTGTCTTGCAACTTCTTTGCACTTCTGAATTGAAATCTCATTGGGTTCACCTTGGTACTCTGGTAAGTCAATTTTCTTGGCCACTAGCTTATACGGAAATCTGTCTCCAAGGATCTGAATAACCTCTTCGAGTTTCTTGGCATTCCCAGTCACAAAGACTATACTCCTGCTGGTCTTTGTAGGAGTACCGAACTGCCAAAGTGCCGAATTTCAGAAGTGCTTCAGACTTCTGAAAAGGGTTAGGGTAGGGATAGAGTTAGGAGTAGGTTTAGGGTAGGGTAGGGTTAGGAGTAGGGTTAGGGTAGGGTTAGAAGCAGGGTTAGGGTTAGGAGTAGGGTTAGGGTTAGGAGTAGGGTTAGGGTTGGGTTAGGAGAAGGGTTAGGGTAGGGTTAGAGTTAGGAGTAGGGTTAGGGGTCGGGTTAGGAGTAGGGTTCGGGGTAGGGGTAGTTTAGGGTTAGGGGTAGAGGTACCCTAACCCTATTCCTAACCCTACCCTAACTCTAACCCTACTCCTAGCCCAAGCCTACCCCTACCCTTAACCCTACTCCTAACCCTACTCCTAACACAACCCTACTCTTAATCCCAACCGTAACCTAACCCTAACACTACTCCTACCCCAACCCCTAATTCTACCCCAAACCCAATCCTACCCCTAACCGTTTTGCCACTTTTCAGAAGTCTGAAGCACTTTGGGCACTTCCGAAATTCAGCACTTCGGCAATTTAGTTCGGTTCGGCTCGGCATTTTGGAAATTCGGCAATTCGGACATTCGGAAGCATCCGAATGTCCAAAATTCGTCCGAATTTCTATTCGGACTGAACCGAATTGCACATGTCTAGTCTGTATGTTAATTTCTGCCTCACTGTGTACTTACAAAAAAAAAAATAAAAAAAAAAAATAAAAAAAAACATACTTTACTGCATGTCAGTGTAGTCCCATGTAGTTAGAATGCTAGAATACACAACTAATCCATTATACCAATATCTTTAAGTCTGGCTAAGTCTTTAATTGAGTCATTTAGGATGATATATTGACCTTTGAATGATACTATCAACTTAGTTGGGAAACCCCATCTATAAATAATATTTTTTGATCTTAGTTTCTTCATGATCTCTTTTAAACTTGCTCGTTTTTGCCTTGAAGCCAGAGAGAGGTCAGGAAAAACGATAATGCCTTAAAATTTTTCATTTTTTAGATCTATAACATCTATAACAGTTCTATTAGTAAACCTAGCCCTTACATCTCTCGGTCTAGAGTCTTCAGAATTACTTGCTCTACATATTCTATGACATATTTCCAATGGGGATGGAACAAAATATGCGGCTTAATGTATTGAGATATAAATTCTGTAACAGAGCTCCAGTACTCCGACCGAGTACCTCTGCCAAGTCTGCTTCCTTGTAGCTATCAGGTACCCTGAAACACTTCAGACCCAGACGCCGAGGCTTGACTGGGATCACTTAGGGCCTTTTCCACCCTGGACCAAACACCAGACGACACATGGTGAAGGTTAAACAGCAACTATTTAATGAATACAGCACACCTAGTTTAAGCCCCCAACAGCCTCATTTACATGCAATAGGTTACATAGATTACTATAGTACGAGGAAGGGTGGGGTCAGACAATAGCAAGGGCTGATGGGAGATTGAGGAGGGACAGAGCAGCTAGATTAAACTGGTCTGGCAGTGTCCCTGGGACAACGCCCTGCTGGGGAAACAATACGACATGAAAAAGGGGGGGAGTGGGAGAGGGACAGACCAGCAATACATTCAACATACCTTGCACAAATAATAGGCACAATGTGACAAAACACAAAAGGAATTTGGGAGCCCACCAATAGTGTCTGTCTACTATCCCCAGTGATGGTGACTACCGTCACAAATTCAATAACAGATTTCTACAAAATGGGTTGTTTTATATTTTCTGAGATTCCTTTATATCTGAGGTTGTTGCGACAAGATCGATCCTCCATCTCAACAACCCTAGTTTCTAATTCTTTTAACTTGTTATCGAGGGAATTATTCTGTGTCTGGAGCAGGGACATCTCCGTTCTAGCGTTAACAATTTCTCCGTCTTGAGCCTCAATTTTTGTGTTCAAGGCAGAGATCTCCTTAATCAAATCAGACATATTCTGTTTAAGATCATTTTTAATGTTTGCATACAATTCCTCCATTATTGCTGTTAAACTTTGTTTAGTAATTACATCACTGTCTGGGAATATTGGATTATCGTCAGGACTTATTACGTTGAGTCCTTCTCTAGGGATAGGTGAGAGGAATCTCCTCTGTGACACTGATTTATCAATGTCTGACTTGGGTGAGTAATAAACACTGATTGGTTTATTTTTTTTATGATTTATCTTCTGAAGAGGTATTGCACACCTGTGCAATAATCATGCTGTCTAATCAGCATCTTGATTTACCACACCTGTGAGGTGGATGGATTATCTCGGCAAAGGAGAAGTGCTCACTAACACAGATTTAGGCAAATTTGTGATCAATATTTGAGAGAAATAGGTCTTTTGTGTACATAGAAAAAGTCTTAGATCTTTGAGTTCAGCTCATGAAAAATAGGGGCAAAAACTAAAAATGTTGCGTTTATAATTTTGTTCAGTGTATAAATGAGTTCTAAAGCTCTCCATATTGACTACGCATTAATTTTGCCATTTGGAATTTAACTTGGTTAAATTCGGCATCCGTAGCAGCCAAGACAAATATGTATGGAATCATGCCTATATTAAAGATGCACTAAGTAATGAGACCGACATGGCGACAGCTTATAATACTATTTTATTTAGGGTAGCTGGAAGTGGCAAATAGGCGCTACTTATTTTTAATTTCAAGGTAAAATAAAAGTTACAAACATTTTTTTAAAATGTCTTTGTTTTTTGTCATAAAACATTGTATGCTGTCACTCGTAAAGTGGAATAATATTCATTTTATAATCTAGTGTCAACGGTGAATCAATCTTTAAACTCTTTATCTCCATGTGTCTTAAACACTTGGGTAGCAAAGTGAATACTTGTGTTTATGTCCTAATGTAGGATTAGGATCTTAAGCTCCTCTGGTGACTTACAAACACAATACAGAAGTTTATTGCTAAATGGAGTGGACTGTTTACATTATAGATCACTTTACAAGTAGTGTTTAGATTTAATTTTGTAGTTGTATGATATCGTAGGATTTACAATTATGTGCACATGCCTTCCTTTGATCTGATAGAGGTCAGGAACAGTAATCTTGGATTTATAGGATGAACACTGTCATTGTCTACTTGAAGCTACTTGGGGTCATGTTATATCCAATCAGATAATTTCCTTACATGTCAATGATTTTATTACCATAAAAAAAACGTGTATCAGGCAGAATAACAGATCCTAAGGATGGACCTAATTGTAAAACAGAAAGTTTTTTAGGCAATTTAACAGTCAGGCATTGCAGAATAAAATAGCATACATATATCTGTGACTATAGAGTATGCAACCTCTTGGGTGAACTGAGGATCAGGCAAAAAGATCTCAGTGACTTTGACAAGGGCCAAAGAGTGATGGCTAAACAACTGGGTCAGAGCATTTTCAAGGCTCATTGATGAATGAGGGGAGCAAAGGCTAGCATCTGGTCTGATCACACAGAAACACTGCTGTAGCTCATATTGCTGAAAAACATAATGCTGGCCATGATAGAAAGGTGTCAGAACCCACAATGTATTGCAGTTTGCTGCGTATGGGACTACGTGGCAGCACATTTTCATTTAGAACAAGTTGATGGACGGTTGCATGTGTGTCATTTACCTGGGGAAAAGATGGCAGCAGGACCTGGGACCTGGCGTTCATGTGGATGTTGCTTTAAAAAGTACCACGTACCTAGACATTGTTGCAGTCCATGTACATTCCTTTGTGGAAATGGGGTTCCCTGATGGTAGTGGCCTCTATCAGCAGGATAATGCACTCTGCCACACTGCAGAAATGGTTCAGAAATGCTTTGCTCAGAGGCAGAGGCGGCTCTCTAATTAGGTGGTTTAGGCGGCCGCCTAAGGCTGCGCGCTGGCTGGGGCCTCGTGGCCGCCTACACCGCCTGTGGGCAGACTTTGTCATGTCCTCGGTCACTGAACGAGGACCTGACACCAGACACCAGGAGGTGAGAGGCCCCTCCTGGCTGCCCGGCCAGCCACTGCAGACACCGGTCTGCAGCACCGCAGTAAGCAGAGCCGCAGACCATGTGTCTTGCGAAAACCGGCCAATCAGAGCGTTGCCGCGTGTTACCACGGCAACGCTCTGACATCTCGTGAGATTACATGGTCTGCAGCTCCAGGGAGCCCACTGGACCACCAGGGAGTAAAAGTAGGCTCTCTCTCACCCCCCTCAGCCTCACCCACCCACCACCCTCAGCCTCACTACCACCCACACCACCCTCAGCAGAGGCGGCTCTTGACTTTATGAGGCCTTAGGCGAAACTCAAACATGAGGCCCCACTAACAAAAAAGTGTCACATATACACATTGATGCACAGTTTATCTGTGTATGTGTCTGAGAGTGTGTCTGACAGAGTATCCTTGTGTGTGAATGTATGTCTCTGTGAGCATGTTTGCGTTTTTGTCTGAGACCCTATGTGTATGGGGTAGCTGCTTAAAGTGTGTTGTGTGTATGGGGGGGATGATGGTGAGAAGGAGAGGTGGGTGATGGTGAGAGGGGGTGATGGTGACAGGGAGGTGTTGGTGTGGGGGGTGATGTGAGAGAGGTGATGGTAATGTGAGAGTGAGGGGGTAATGTGAGAAGGAGGTAATGTGAGGGAGGGGGTGATGTGAAAGGGGGGGGGTGATGTGAGAAGGAGGGAGGTGATGTGAAAGAGGGGTGATGTCTTTGAGAAGGATGGTGGTGAGGGTTGATGGTGAGGGTGGTGGGGAGCAGTGGTGTATCCTGGTTTTGTGCTGCCCTAGGCAGGACAAAACTCAGGCACCCCCCCGTGCCACCCCCACCCGCGCAACCGCCACCCAACCTTCCCCCACCTTCTAAATACACACACACATTCACTGACAGATACGCATTCACTAGCTAACAGAAACACACACTCACTAACAGACACACACTCACACACACACTCACTAACAGACACACACACTCACAGGCAAACACACACACACACACACTAACAGGCAAACACACTAACAGACACACACACACTAACACTAACATACATACACTAACATTAACATACACACTAACATTAACATACACACTAACACTAACAGACACACACTAACACTAACATACACACTAACACTAACAGACACACACTAACACTAACATACACACACACACTAACAGACACACACTAACATACACACACTAACATTAACATACACACTAACACTAACATACACACTAACACTAACAGACACACACTAACAGACACACACTAACAGACACACTAACATACACACTAACAGACTTCCACACACACACTAGTGTTTTGTTTTTGTTTTTTTATTTAACCCCCCCAGCCTCCTTACCTTTGGTAATGCTGGGGGGGGGTTCTTCCTCTCCCTGGGGTCCAGTGGCTGCAG